ATATACATAACTCCTAACGACGCTACAGCATTTTGCATATGTTACACAATCTCTTCGGCTTTTCCCTATTACAAATCAGCTGTAATAAATATCTTCACGTGTAATTTTTTCACTTTGGATGTTTTTTTAGGATTGCTTTTGCGAGCTGGGCAATGAGAATGACTATTTTAGGGTTCTTTATATAGCCAATTACTTCCAGAAACGCGGCACTGTTTTGTTTATCCAATGGCATTGATTCTTCTTCTTCTTCTTCTTCTTCTTCTTCTTTTTTTTTTTTTTTTTGGTGGTGCTAGGGTTTGAACTCAGGGCCTCACTCATGCTGGGCAGGCGCTCTACCACTTGAGCCACTCCACCAGCTCCAAAGGCACTGCAGGTAAAGTGACAGTTTGTGATATTCCTGCTTGGTGGAAATTTTAAGGGTATCCCTTGTTTGCATAATCAATGCCTTAAATATTATTATGTGGAGGTGTTAATACACACGTACAGAATGAGAAATATTAATTTTCATTTTTCAAAGTGCTGGCATTATTATGCATAGTGGCAGACCTTTACTTGCCCTATGTTAAAAGTATAAAACTAGCTAAAGAAAAGTATGTGTGGTTTTAAGTGATATATGTTATACTCAAGACTGTGAAATAACTTCTGTCCGTGTTATCAGTGGGGAAGAATACTTTCTTACTGTTATTCTGGCTTTGCACTGGATAGGTAAAGAACTGGAGTTACTGGTTAGTGACTTGGCAAGACACGCTTGAAATCACTCAACATGAAAAAACACACAAGGGAATATCTTATGCCACTATTTTAGGGGTTTTAGGTAAATTATCTCCTCCTATTTCTCTTGACTCCTGCCTTCTGCCAGATTCCCAAAACTTACTGAGGTCTGAAGCAATCTTGCTGTGTATATTTTTTAAAAATTGCATTTGTAGAATGAGTTAAGGGAATTGTATCCCATGTTTTCTGTGTTCTGTTTAAATGTACTGCTAAGCACATAAATGAGTATAGCTTTACATTATAAATTGACAGAGAATTTCAGTCAGGTGTTTTGAAGTTCTAGTGTAACAATTTATGGGAAAACATGAAACAGAAAAGCTGTCACTGTAGGTGATGTCGTAATCTTTCGGAATTTTCCAGGTTGCGGCCAAGAGCCAGTGGCTCGCACCTGTAATCCTCGCTACTTAAGAAGCAGAGATCAGGAAGATTCCAAGTCAGCCCCCGGCAAAGAGTTCACAAGACCCCATCTCAAAAAAAAACCTTTAAGGGAAAAGGAACGGCAGAGTGGCTCAAGTGGTAGCGTGCCTGCCTAGCAAACGTGAGGCCCTGAGTTCAACCCCCGGTGCTGCCAAAAAAAAAAAAAAAATTCCAGGTTAGAGGAGCTGAGTGGGGTCAAGTGGGGCAGTAGGGAAGTGTCTAGCTTGAAGATAAATTTCTAAGTAAAAAAGTCTCAAGTAATTCATTGTTTGATTAAAAATATTGTCAATTGAAATATAACTTAAATATTATATCCAGAGCATGATATAAACTTGTTTTGATCATAATTTTGCATGGCACTTATGATTTGCCAGGTGCTTTCTAAGTACTTCCTAGTAATTATATTTCCATTTCACAGATGAGAAAACAAAGGCAGAGAGAGGTGAAATAACATTACTATCTAGTAAGTGATGCACCTGGCATCCAAATTCATCCATTTATGTGGCCCCAGAGACTGTTTTCTAACCACTATGCTCTACTTCCTTATTGTTTATAAAATTTCTTATATTATAGGCTTTTTTGTCATCTTAATCTTAGAAATAACAAATCAGAACTCAAGAGACATTAGTTGAATTTCCTAAAGGACCAGAATTACAAATATTAATTGAATCCTAGGAAAAAAGGACAAAGATCAAAGATACATCTGTCTTTTTTAGAACGCTAGTTGCCATTAAGAAAGATAATTCTGTAATTCCTAAGGGCTCTAATGTCCTTTTCTTTAATTGAGTTTTGTAACAGAAATGAATTATTTGACATCCTGGAGCATCTTCTGTGCTAATTTTAATATCCATAGTGACATAATTCCATCTTAAATTTTATTAACTGATAAAAAGATCTGGAGTTAAATGCGTATTTTGTTGATAGACAATCATGGGGGGGGGGTTATGATTGAAACAGAGGTCTTAAGCAGTCACTGTAATTTAGTGGTACAAACAAGTGGTTTCTGCTTCCAGGATCACCTGGTGAATTCACAGGGCAGTCAGCATCCTCTCTTGTTTTTTAATCACAAGCCTACATTTGTACCAAGGATATTCTGGAGCAGAAAAAAAGTCAAAACTCTAATAATTGTTCCTTCCCCCAGGACCTAAAATTTGAGCTGAAGTGTGACTTTAAAGCAGTAACTTAAAAGGTGGCTGGGGTTTAGAAGCTAGGCAAAGACAGCAGGCAGTTATAACAATGGAGTGTTGTAAAGCAGAGGTGACTTGAAGGTGAGAAGACATCAGTGGTGTTTGGGATGTGGGAGTCAAAGAAATTGGGATGTCCAAATCATAGCTGAGATTGTACATCAAAAGTCACGAGATGTGGAACTGGGACTTAGAATACAGTCATCAGGAATCTTGGGATCTAGAGGTAAAAATGGCAAAATGAGGGCAGTGAAAATATTTTAAGGTTCAGAAGTTGATTTGTGGGGATAAAGATTCAAGGGTTGTGGATAAGTCTTGAACATCTAGGGTCAGGACTGAAAGTTGCAAATTGAGTGTCTTCAGTTGGGTTAGATCCCTCACTGAAAACAATTATAAAAACAGAATTATAAAAACATGACAAAATGTGTGTAGATTTTATTATGTGTACTGCATATATGTAAAACAACTATACATAAATATATGTTTAAGCACAATCATATGTACATATTCACACACACACTATAACAGACAAATAAATACATTTAACAACTGAAGGGACTAGGGGACAACCAATGGAGACAGAGGTTAATTGGCTCCAATCCTTGAGAGAGTTTACACATATGGCAAGCTCTATATTCACCTCCCCACTCCCCTGAGCATTTTCTAAGTGGCAATGAGAAGAAGAGAGATAAATAGCAGCAGTCTCTGTTGGCCAGGAGCAGAGGTTGGAGCTCAGGAACAAATGCAACTGGGATTTGGTGACAGAATTCTAGGGAGAAGAAAACCACAGAGATGTTAGCCCCATGATCTGCTCATAAATTCACTGAAAATCTTGAGTCATTTCCTAAAATGTACATGCACAAGGAGAGATTGGAGGAAAGCCAGTGGAACCACAGTACCTAAAAAGTTGGATGGAGATTTTAATAGATGCACAATGCTTGGGAGATGGAGACTAGCATCTAAGCCCCTCCAGGTAGAGGGGTCTTGGTAAACATCCCAGGTGTGTAGGTATAAGATCCAGTAAGGACCGTGACCTAGGTGTCAGGACAAAATTGAAATAAACCGGGAACCAACAGTCTAAAACCAAGCCTGAATGGGGTTATGGTGATCTCTCTAAACATAAGAAAATTTAAGCCACTGTGGAGAAACCTGGTATCAGCAGTCTCTATAATTTTTCTTCCACACTGTCTGAATTCAACAAGAAACCATAAAACATGGTGGGGGGGGAAAGCAACAATAAAACAGGGCCAAATACCAAAAAAACTGGAGGACTCAGATGAATGAGATATTGGAGTTATCAGATAGGAACCTTAAATAATATGATCAAATAAAGTTTAAGAAAATAGAGAAAAGATAAAGAATTTTCCACAGCCTTGGAATCTATTTCAAAAGTAGAAAGGGGGGGGTCACATGTTCCACATGTTGGAACTGAACATATTATACATAAAATTATGAACTCAAGAGTGGCTGTATGGCAGCACAGACACAGCAGAAAAGTGTTTCTACTGAAGGGGGAACAGGTCAGCAGAAAATATCCAGATTAAAGTAAAGGAATAGTCGGGCACTGGTGGCTTTATGCCTGTAATCCTAGCGACTCAGGAGGCAGAGATCAGGAGTATTGTGATTCAAAGTCAGCCTGGGCAAATAGTTGGCGAGACCCTTTCTCGAAGAAACTCATCACAAAAAAGGGCTGGTGGAGTGGCTCAAGGTGAAGGCCCTGAGTTAAAGCCCCAGTACTACAAAATAAATAAACAAATCAGTCAATAAAAGTAAAGGGAAAAAGTAGGTACAGAAATGAGTGTAAAAGTCCTAAGGACTATGGCAAAAAGTTCTAACATACAAATACTTGGAGTTACAGAATGCAAAGAGATACAGAGCAATATTTACTGAAATATTGGCCAAGACTTCAAAAACTGACAAAATCAGATCACACATTTGAGATAGTTCTGAGGAGGATAAACACCACACACACACACACACACACACACACACACACACACACACTAACTTAGTGACATCAAGTTCAAGACCAAGAGAAAGAGAAAATTTTTCAAGCAGCAGGGATGGGACTAAAAGACAATTATCTTCAAAGGATCAACAATCAGACTGATGGCAAAAGCAGTGACAACCAGAAGACAATGGAAAAATGTGTTAAAAATGCTGAGAGGTTTTAAAAAAAGGGGGGGGAAAGCCAATGTGGAGTTTAATATCCAGCTAAACTATCATGTAAAAAACACATTGACTTTTATACTCAGCAAAACTATCATTTTAAAGGAAGAGTTGTCAAGAGTGCAGAGAATTTGTTGTCAGAAGACCTGAACTATTAAGAAATATTTCAGGGAGTTTTTCCTTTAAGTATAAAGTTCAATGCACCCAGATGGAAGTGTTCTAGTTCAGAGAAACGAGCACGACCAGGAAGGAGTGACTTTGTCCCCACCTGTCACCCAGTGAGATACTTTGCTGTAAACTATAACTTAATGTTAAATAGAACTGAAGAGAGGGAGTTACAGTGTAATTTTACCCAAGATAAAATTATAATTTTTAAAAACACAATGGAGGTTGGTTGGGGGTGAGGAGTGAAGGGCAGCACGCGGCTATGGGGTGCAGGGGGCGTCCGGAGCCGTGGCAATGTCGAGCGATCCCTGGACAGATTTCAATGTCAGTGACCTTGGCTGGCAGTTGGATTGAGGGTAGTTACGGGGAAGGTCAGGGGTCACGACCCTCCAGGAGCAGCCGTTGAAACCGGAGCACAGGGAGCGGTTGGGTTCCCCGTGCAAGCGGCCCCGCCCCGTCGCCCCCGCGCGCGCCGCGGCCCCGCCCCAGCCCCGCCCCGAGCGATCCTGGAAGATTTCAATGTCAGTGACTTGGCTGGCAGTTGGATTGAGGGTAGTTACGGGGAAGGTCAGGGGTCACGACCCTCCAGGAGCAGCCGTTGAAACCGGAGACAGGGAGCGGTTGGGTTCCCGTGAAAGCGGCCCGCCCGTCGCCGCGCGCGCCGCGGCCCGCCAGCCCGCCCGTCCGGCGCTGCAACGCCGCGGCCCCCCCTCGCCCGCGCGCCGCGGCCCGCCATCAGCCCGCCCGCGCTGCAACTCCGCGGCCGCCCTCGCCCCGCGGCGCCGGGCCCGCCCCAGCCCGCCCGTCGGCGCTGCAACTCCGCGGCGGGCCGAGCGGGCTGAGGCGGCGAGGGGCGAGCAGCGCAGGCCCCGCGGGCCGCCAGGGCTTCCGCGGCGCCCGCCTCCTTCCCGCCTTCCCCGCGGGTGCTCGGG